ATATTTCCGACGAATTAAAAAATTCCGTCCGTCGGAAATTTATGACGGAAAATAAATCCGTCGGAATAATTGGACGTTCCGACGGAATATTCCGTCGAAAAAGGTCAATTCCGACGGAAAAATTCGTCGGAATTATAATTTAAAAAAAAAAAAAGTATTTAAACCCCCAACCCTAATCCCCTTTCTTCCGCCCCTTTTTTTTATCTCCTCTTTCCTCTCTTTCTCTCTCCTCCTGGTCCTCCTCATCTCCCTCCTTCTTTCCTTCCTTCTCTTTCTCTCTCCTCCTGTTCCTCCTTCTTCTCAGATCGGTTCGCCCCTTCTCTCCTCCTTTCCTTTTTTTTTTATTTTTTTATTTCTTCTTCTATTTTTCCTCTCCTCATCATTTTCAGTCCTCTTTCTTCTATCACCACAAACAACAACATCACTACCATCACCACCAACAACAACCAACATCGTTGCCACCAACAACACCACAACCACCGTGCAACAACAACAGCAACGCCTAACAAATGCAAAGCCACCGCGCAAGAATCGTGAACCGATTAGATCTAGTTTTAATTTAGGTTACATTGTAGATCTAGTTAATTTTTTATGTAATTGTAAGGTTAATTTAACAATTTTATACATAATTGTATAATTATATGTTTCCTTTAATTTTTGTTGTTTAATTATCGCTTTTTTTAATTTTCTTATGAAATTCTTATTAAATATGTAGATCTAGTGATTTTGATTTATTTGTGTGGTATTTTTCGATTTTATTGTCTTTATTTTTGTATTTTTGGTTAATTTTTTATTATTGAGGTAAGATTTCGGTTTTTTTTTTTTTTTTGCGAAGTTTGGTGTTTTGGGGTTATTGTGTGAGTGTGGTGGTGTCGGTGTGCAGTGGGGTGGTGTCGGTGTGAGTGTGGTGGTGTCAGTGTGAGTGTGGTGGTGTGCAGTGGGGTAGTGTCGGTGCGAGTGTGGTGGTGTACAGTGGGGTGTTGTCGGTTGTGGTGGTGTGAGTGTGATGGTGTGCAGTGGGGTCTGGTTGGGTGGGCTGGTGGTGCGCGCTTTTTTTTTGTTTTTTTAAAAGAAATTTTTGACAAAATTCCCGTCGGGAAATTCCGACGGAATCTGATTCCGACGGACTTTTCCATACCTGAAAAACCTCTTTCGACACTAAAATCCGTCGGAAAAGTGTTTCCGACAGAAATTCCGTCGGAAAATGTCGATTTTCCTACGAATACTTTTTCGACGAAACTTTCCGACGGAAACACGGTTTCCAACGGGAAACAAGGTGTTTCCGATGAAATTTTTCCGTCGGAATTAAGTTGTTTTCTAGTAGTGTGCCCGCTTGTGTTGCTTTGTGCTCACAAGCCCCTCTTCCACTCAAGGCTTGCGTTCTTGCCGTCAAAAGGCTAGAGTGCGTCGCACGTTTCGAGGCCCAAAATCCCGAACCGTGACACTTTGTCTTATTTTATTTTATGTTTTACAAGCTAAGAAATGCAGTAATGCGCGCCTGTGCAATATAAGTAATCTACCAAACTTGATTCTATGTTCTATCCATAATATCATCTCGTTATTCTAATAATGATAAAAATATTAGTGGGTTTAAAAATTATTGAAAATTTTTTTAAAAAAAAATAATTATTAAAATAAATATTTTGATTTGATGCATAAAGGCTAAATAATAAAATTTGACTTCCCTTAAAAAAAATTGAAAATTTTAAGGTACAGGCAAAAAACGTGAAAAGAACACGTAACTATTTTGTAAAGAGCATACAACTGTTTTGTAAAGAACATATAGTTGTTTTGTAAAGAATATCAAGTTTATATTTTTTTATCTAACAAAAATATGTAATATTAATAAATAACATGATAATATTATTTAATAAACATTATTTATATATAACCACCATAATTTAAAAATAAAATTCAAAGAACATTTCACAATTTTTTTTCTTTTTTTTTTGGTGTGAAATAGAGTCTGAGACTCTAAAGAAAAAAAAGAACAAAAACAACCAAACAAAACAGAAGAAAAAAGAAAAAACACAAAAAAAAACAAAAGAAACTAAATAGCAACATACAACAATGCTGCTTTATTCAAAGTAACACTAAGGCTACGGTAAAGCAGCAGGCACCATCCTTGACGACGCATACCCCCAACTCCTACAATAAAATAGCACGAAGGTCCCTCGGGACCGCCTCAAGAATCATTACTCGTTGTGGAAGAGAAACTCCGAAATTAGCAAGCCAATCCGCAACACAATTACCCTCCTTGTAGCAATGATGAACTGTGACTTCCCATCCACTTCTATGAGCAATGGCTTTACATTTTCTTATGAGATGAATGTAAGGAGAATTTAAAGGAGTTTCCTCTGTCAGAAGCCGAACTACAACTTCAGAATCTACCTCCAATTGAACATTTCGATGCCCCGAATTCCAAGCTATAGCAAGACCACGCATCACTCCCAACAATTCAGCCTTTGTGCAAGAGCAGATACCACAATTCGAAGCAAACAATTCGAATAACTCCCCCCTATGCCCACAAATTATTCCACCAGCTCCTGCCTGACCTAGGTTCCCCTTCGAAGCTCCATCGGTATTTAGTTTAACCCACTCCTCTTTAGGGAACAGCCACTTAACCAGACGTTCCACCTTAATATTCCTTCCTGTCTTCTTACTTCTACCCAAGTCCCAAACTAGAGCTTTGTTAATCTCTCCTACTCTTGCATATATGAAAGCAATCTGGTCAATTGGAATATTCACCTCCCTTGCAAAGGCGCACTCATTCCTCCACCTCCACAACCACCAGCAGGTAGTAGAAACACTATCTCCAACCCCTCCTCCGTCACACTACCACAAGAGTCAAGTTTTCCAGTCAGCCGTTCATTAAAACTTTCTCCCGAATTTATAAAAAATTCCCTAACCCCAAGCTTACTCCACACCATTTTTGCAGCAGGACACAACCTCAGGATATGCTCCGTATACTCTACTTCTCCACGGGCAATGCATCTAGGATCATCTGTGAATTTTCGAATGAAGCGATTCACATTAGTCATAAGTCTGTCCTTTAAATCCAGCCATAGAAACATTCGAATGCGTTGCGACACTTGTGTTTTCCAAACAAGTTTCCAACCTTTAACTTGGCTCAAATCAATGTCTAAGCCATTTCTCATAATCGCCAAAGCCGAGCCAATATTAAAGCCCCCTGAAGGAGCACCTGACCAATACACTTCATCAATCGCCTCTTCTTCTTCTGCTAGCTCAAAAGAGGCTAACTTACTCAACACATGAGACGGTAAGTAATCCGCAAAGAGCTCATACCTCCACCCAATATTCAGATCCCACATAGCCTCAACCAAGTCCTCATGTATCTCAATTGGAGGTTCCACTACAGCACTCTCTAAAAGAGTCTTCTTCGAAGCCCATCTGTGTTTCCAAAATTTAGTCTTGCGGCCATTACCAACAGCCATCCCTACCCCCTTTCAAAGAGTATCCACACACCTTAAAATCCCCTTCCACGCATTCGAGGCATCCGGCCTATCTTTGAACATATCAATGTCACACCTACCACCACAATATTTGTATCTCAATACTCTCGACCAAAGGGTGTTAGGCTCTGCCAACACTCTCCATCCCAACTTAGTAAGAAAACCCGCATTTTCTTGTCTCATGGAGCGTAAACCTAAACTGCCAGCACTTTTCGGCTTAGTAAGCGACTCCCACACAACAAGGTGAACCTTCCTCACATTTTCACTGCCTCCCCACATAAATCGCCTTGCTTTTTTTTATCAATGTCGTCACAAAGGGAATGAGAAAGCTTAGTTGTCTGCATTGTGTAATACGGAACAGACGACAAGCACGATTGAATCAATGTGGTTCGGCCAGCCATAGACAATGTCTTCGACTTCCAACCTGGCAGTTTCGAGTTAATTCTCTCCATGAGGTACTTATAATCATTCCTTGAGGTCCTACCATTAATAGTGGGCACGCCCAAATTTTTTTCCAAAGTCAAGAGTGGCCTCCATACCCAGCTCTTCACAAATAGCACCTCGAAAATCCAAATTAGTGTTATTCAAGAAAAAAACCCGAGACTTATCTAGGCTCACTTTGCTACCCGAAACTTCACAAAACTTATCAAGGCATTCCCTCATCAACCTAGCTTGATCCACATTGGCTTCACAAAAAAGAATTAAATCATCCGCAAAGGCCAAATGAGAAATACTCGGCCCATTAACACTTGCTCTCACCAGAATCCACCCTCCACATTGAACTTCATGTTCAATCAAATGTGCCAACCTCTCCATACAAATAACATAGAGATACAAAGATAACGGATCACCTTATCTAATTCCCCTAGTTGGAGAAAAAGGCATAGTAGGCTCCTCATTCCATAAGACCTGCAACTTTGTAGAAGATACACAATTCATTACAAGATCAACCATATATTGCGGAAGCCGTAACTCAAGTAAAGAATCTCGAATAAAGCTCCACCGCTATCTATCATATGCTTTCTCAAAATCGATCTTCACCGCCATATAACCCCTCTTCCCTTGCTTCCGTCTCATAGTATGGAGCATTTCTTGGACAATAATGATATTGTCCGTTATTTGACGTTTAGGCACAAACGAACACTGAGTCGGAGAGATAAGGCTAGGTAGAACTGGTTTGATACGATTTACTATAACCTTAGTCACAATCTTGTAAGAACATTTCACAATAACTCAATAAGCAATGAATTTATGACACAAAAAAGAAAACATTACACTGACAATCAAAGAACATGGATATGTTCTTTTCACTCTTTTTTGGTGCAAATATGTTCTTTCCACTCTAGAAACATGTTCATTATATTTTAATAGTAGTTCTTTTCACTATGGCTATATGTTCATTATTTTTCTATATTATGTTCTTTCCTACAAAACAACTGTATGAAGCATCATACAGGCTCCTACAAGGACCAGCGATTGATTAAAATCAAGATAAATCACTAGTATAAAAGTTTTTCAATCTGTTGCTCTATATAATGTTTTTACTTCTATAAACACTGAAATACTCCGAAAACAGAACAAGAGATGTTTCAATTATACATCAGTTTGCAAAGTTTTGCGCTCCTCCTCAACAACCTTCTATAACAACACTAGCCCAACACAAGTTTACAAGAACTTTGTTCACTAAACTCATGAATGTACAGCACAAGTTTACAAGAACTTTGTTCACTAAACTCCCTCCGCAACAACCAGCCCAACACGAACTGCAGTGACTACAACTCAAACAATCAAATTATAACACAATTTTAAAAGTATAAAGGGTAGCCTCAAAGAAAAACTAAATAAAAATATCAAGATAAATCCCCAGTTGCTTTCACAGTTTTCCCCTGCTTATGATCATCAACCTTCTTTTCCATCGTTTGCTGCTTACAATATTCAAAGTACAACAGAAAAGCAATCCACTTCACCAAATTTCCAATTGAAACTGACATTATAACAATGGAAGTGATCATAACACCAGCCACACTTCCATTACATAATCCGGCATACAAACAAGGAAGCCTCAGAGCATTACCAAACACAAAAAAACCGAGCATCAACTGAAACCCGGTTTTCTTGCAATGCCTGCCATAATACTCTGATAATCCTAACGCAGCAACCCCAGTTTGTTCTTCTTTACAAGAAATCGCCATTCCCATATTCCAAAATGCACTCCAATCAAGGTACTTGTATAGCAAAGCTAGAAACATCACTGACTGAAGTGCAACAAACAGTACATACCAAAAAGATATAGACTGATCATAGTACCTAGGACCTGAGAAGAGAACTTTACTCAATAGTCTTATCCAAGAAAGACCTAACAAAGTTGTTGATGACAGTAAGTGAACACAAAGATAGGTTGTAAAAGGACCGCCGAAATTAACTTTCTGGTGAAACAACTCTTTGAAAGTTGACAGTTTCTCAGCTGCAAGAACTTTTGATGCAATTTTCGTAGTTAAGCTCAAGCTAAAGAACTCTAGAAAGGGATACAGAAGCAAATAAAAGAGAGAAAATTGGAATGTGTTTAAGAAAAACTCCCTTCTTTGATCAGTATATGTTGTATAACTAGTGAACTCATCATCATACAACACACCTTGATAATTATCTACCGAGTTTGATGCAGTACTATTTATTAGTGAGGAATTATAGGGGTACATAGTTACAGAAATGGGGTAGTGTTGCATTAGAAGAGGGTTTGATGAAAGAAAACTTAATGATTTTTGGAGTTTTATCTCATAAAAGACCATAAAAACAAAAAGAGGAAGAATAGACAATATCATAAAGAGCATAAACTTGGTATTACTGGTAAAGATTTTCAAAGCCGACTTCAGAAATTCAAATGACTTCAACTGCTTAATATCAACAATAGCTTTCCTGATATCGATCCCAATTCCTTCCCCAGTTCCTAGCAGCCTCTCATTTTGTGACTCGATATCATCGAGTTTAGGAAGTAAGGAAGCTTCAACATTTCCTTCACTCATGTCTAAAATTGTATGCCTGTATCTAACTTCGATAAGCCTTAGATCGTATAGCTAACTTTATAGTCAATCGGCCATCCAAATCTATCATCATTATACTTTGAATTAAACCATTGGCTTTAAATTTCCACCTTATGTGTGCCCGTTCCTTCTCTTTGACTAATATAATGTAACCAATTATTTAATTAGGTGCTGACCATTGACTTTGAAGTTTCCACCTTATGCTTCAACAAAATAATGAATGGTGCAATTGTAGTTGGTACTTGGAAGTCTACTGACATGAAACTTCCTCAATAGCGACCTTGAAAATTGACAAAAAAAATTGGAAAGAACTTATTATCACTAAATTCCTATAACTTCATTCTTGCTCCATCCCAAAATGTCATGCCCATTTCTAAATTTGCACGGGAATGAAGGGAAGTGGAGGGAGTGAAAAAATCATGTATAAAATAGAAAGCTGATACACATACAACCATTGTATGTTGTAGGTACAACACCATTAGAAATTTGACACATCTACAGAAAATGGAAGAAAATTAAGAGCATCAGTAATAGAAGGTTTCTTAAATGAGGGTTCTTATACTCTCTCTTATTCCACATCATCAACAACTCCTATTAAGAACCATCTTTTATATTCTCAAAGAAATACACTAAATCCTAACACTATATCTTTATCTCTCTCTTAATCATAGCCGTTGGAAGAAATTTTTTACAAACAACATTTGATAGTGCATGGCCACGTGGATGCAAATTTCAGTCATAGGATAGCTTTTACTTTTATAAATTGTATAGTATCATGCAAAACGCACCAATTTTAGTAATATACAATGTCGTTTAATGTCTAGTAAGCTATGGTTCTTATTTTTAAGAGCTATTGCTTATTTCAGAACCACCAAGCACAATTGCTAAATAAGATGCTCCCATTTCTTACTTAAGACCCATTTCTTAAATTATCTCTCCTTAAGAACTACCTAATATTGATGCTCTAAGAGTCAAATAAAAATTGAATTTAATGGAACTTGTACCTATTATTTTAGCCAATAAAAACATGACAAATTAAAGTTGTATGTAATGACCACATACAACAATTGTATGTATAGCCTTTACCATGTGAAATATATTTGAAATAAACTACAAAATGCACAACGTACATTTTCTTTTCCACATGATGCATTTAATGTATTCAGTTGATTTGTGCAAATATTACATATGGACGCCAAATTTGAAAAATATTATGGGATCTTAACATTTACACATTACTAACAACTATAAACTGAAAGTATCAAGACAAGAATTACAAAGCAATCAAATGAAAAGTTCAGCTAAAAACATAAGCAGTAGGTGCCATATTAAATTTTGAACCAAGGATAAATTTTCATTTACCATTCAATTTATGTACTAACATACCGGATAAAAACCTACTCGGGAAAGAAAAGAATATATACAGCAACACTAGCACGCCTAAGTACACATTTTACCAAAAAAAATAAAAAAAAATAAATAAATACTAATTCAAATACGTACAATATAAATCACACGAACCAAGTGTATTATTAACATTTGGCTTGGTGACAACACAGATCAATCGATCTCCATCTTCAAGCATATTACAATTGTCTGGGGTTATCAAGTATATCCACAATCATTCACTTGGATTTGAAGAGGTCATACAAATGATGTCCCCCAAACATCACATGGAAAAAGTAACAAGAAGCTCTGGATTCTTCATACTTATAAGGTAAAAACCAACCAAATTCTATACAGCAAGCAACATACACAGGCGTTTAGGTGAAATTATGCACAGATGTCACATGTGTTTTAAAGAAAAAACATGTACCAACCGGAAAAGAACGATAGCTTAACATAGGACCTTCCACTCAATTGCACACAAACTCATTGCCATTAGCACAGCTATTACTTCATATATAATACGTATTCAGTTTCATGTGAAAGCTAATCACAATACCATTCAATATGTATTCAAAAATAATCAAAAGAAAGCAAAGAAGCAACTTGCCAATTATTATCATTTAGAAGTTTGCACAGTTTGATACTCTTCCAAACCGACTCTACAAGAAGTATCAAAAAAAAAAAAAAAAAAAAAAAGAAGCCCTCTATGTAAGTTGGAGGCAAGCCAAGTTGTCGAGAAATCCAAAGATAAAGTTCCATAGAGATTTAAAATGTAGACCAATAAGCACTAGCCTGATTTATTAAGCATATTAGGCAGGAAACAATCTCAAAGCAGATAACTATTTTCAAAATAATTCACTGGTTCTTGATAGTTTACTACTAGTGACGCACCCAAAAGGAAATGACATCCTTCCTAAGTCCCCATCTCAAACTATGCAAACATCAAATGATGTTGACAAACAAATTTTGAAAAAAAAACAACAATGCATCTTACAATTTGAGGAAGAGAAAAACAAAGTCAACAAGTGACTAAGAAATGTATTTGCAACATACCCAAAATAGCAAGCAGGCAAATAAAATAAACTTACCTGCTGAGGGCCTTTGTCTGATGTCCTGGAAACTGTGCAAGAGAAAAAAAGGTTATTTTGCCCTGAGGACATAACGGTTGGAGCAGTAGTTTTACCAAGTCTCATTGACAAGCTGGGACATCAAGTCCATAATGTTCCCTGAGAAGTATGTTACTATATAGCGAATCTTATAATCAAAGGGGCATGTGCAGTTTACTTCCTTTTCTACACTTTGGGTGTACTTTTAGATCATCCAGAAACAAATTTTTGATGGTTCCTATGCCCTCACAACCAGGTTAGATGAAATGTGACGAGGTCTCATCTCCTTCAACTGGGGCAAGCATAGTGAACGTGTTCTAAGTGGAGCAGCTTGGTCATACATGATGAAATTTAAAGTTTGAGGGCGGCCAATGTAGTGGGGTTCCAGAGTCATGATGACACGAAGTTAAGAAGAAGCGATGACAAGCAGATGATGACGCAGACAAGCAGATTTGAAAAAACGGAGCACGGTAAGCAGTAAGAGTCGAAACGATGCCGTTGCATCCTAAATCACACTTCACAAAAGAAATATGAACTTTTAGTCTTTCAGTAATACCAACTTCATATAGAATACACATACACACACACACACACACACTAAGAAGATTATAGAGCAAGAAAATAGCATTTGTCACAAAACTAATAGTAAAATATAAAAAGGCAGTAATATGGCAATCAAAACAGAAACCTACAACATTCAGAGAGCTGTAGAGAGCAAACTGATGCAGAAGGGATGTCCAGTAAACTTCCTACATTAAAACAGCATAGAAGCCATCCAAGCCACCGAAGCAAACTTTAAGCACTTCATAGCCTTCAATATGCACAGTAATATCAAGTCTCTATTCCTAATAGTACTATTGTTGGATCCTGGCTGCAACTGTTGCCTGCTAAAAAGCTTCACCACCATTTATCAGCATCAAACTCTGCAACAAAAAAATATAAATAAATTAAGACTGGAAGCACAGAAAAAGTTCAAGAATATAGTCTGCAATACAAGATTGAAGTGTATAAATGGGGATCTAAGAGAGGGCAACAAATAACTTAGTGTGGTAAATACTACTATTACAAACATAAATACACTACACCAAGCTCAACCAGGGCGCAGCAGTAAATTAATGTAATTATATATCTCGACAACTTCATAAAAGTCTACACTACAAGTTACTCTACAGCACCCCCATCTAACCTCCAAAAAAAACATAATACTCGAAACCTAAGAGAGTCACATCAATTACATAACAGCTTTACTTATTAGAGATTAAACCACACTTGTTAACAAATAGGCAATTGCCAATAATAATTCACAGCAACTGTAACCTTTAGGTGTTAGACATTAAAACTCGCATCTTGATTATAAAACAACCATCTAAGAATATATTTTCCCAGTAATAGATAAATGAATATTTTATCAACAATAAATAACAATATCATGGTAGGTGATTAATGTGAAAAACTTCACATACCCATTAGCATACGGTGAGGCACGGCGAGCACGACGAACTGGTGGTGATCTACTGTAGCTTCGACCACGGCGATATGCAGGTGATATGCTCCGTTTCCTTGGCGGTAGCGGTGACCTCCTTCCTCGTGGGCTGTATCCACGTGGGCTATAACTCCTGCCACATGATAACATCACATCAATCATTGCAAGTTGAGAAAACAGTGACAAAAAAAAATCAGATGGCAAGCAAAGTTTACAAAAAGCATCTTATTGATTAGGCAACAGGGTAATTTTAACAAACTTATGACATAACTAGAAAAAAATACAGAACCAATTGGCCTAAATTGAGCTGCAACAATAGATTGGAAAAGCACTGAAAGAACTTTCAAAATATCAACATAACCATCCTTCATAGAATAACACATAAATAGAGAATCATTCACTAAATCAAAAAAGCAGACCTGCGGCCATAACTAGGACTTCCACGATGACGAATAGGGGAAGGACTACGACGCCGTCCACCACCTACCCCTCTTGAACCAACTCGCAAGCGACATTCACGAGCAAAGTGACCAGGTTCGCCACACTCATAGCATTTCATATCATCACCCCCACGCCCACGTCCACCACGACCTCCACCTCCCTTTGTATTACGGGACAATTCCACTCGCCAGCCATTCCTTCCTGTTGTATAAGCTTGCTCATGAGTAATCCAACATGGTAATTTATAACAAAGCAAACATGATAATTCTAAACATGGAGGGGGAATATTCGATAAGACAAGAACACCACGTTCAAATTGCAACTAGGCCAACTCAGACATAACATAGGCAATTCAAACTTCCATCAAACATCATAGAGAGATCCAAACAATGAAAATACCAAATAGTGAGTAGTGAAAATACCAGTTCATGACAAGTTATATTGCGCTATAAACAACTAGATAAAGTAATCCACTAATCCCCATGTAATACACAATGGCATGAACAACAAAGTTGTAAGAAAGATTAAGAACAGCCAAGAACGGGAATCCAAACCTATTATTTCTCAGCAAACTTTTAAAAAAATGTTTTTAAAAAAACCCCAATTAATTCGATAAGAAAACGACTTGGTTGGAAGGAGTTAGAAAGAATATGAAGTATATGGATTTGCATGAGGAGGAGGCATTGGATTGTAAGGGATGGAGGAGGCGGGTCTTTGTCAATGATTACACATTTACACGTAATAATCAAATTTGGTTCATGTAGCCGACCCCACTTAAAGAATTAAGGCTTTGATTGATTGAATTAAATAAGGAAATCATCATCATCAAAGCTAAAGACCTATTAAAAATGTAGACTTTACAAACGAAAAAATCCTCCACCCAACTAATTTGAAAGACCAAACGAGAAGAAATAATACCATCAAGAGCTTGAATTGCATCAAGTGCATCCCTTTTGTCATCGAATTCGATAAAAGCATAGCCTGGAGGCCTTCGAGCAACCCACACACTGCAATCATGGTAATTTGCTAGCATAAGAAAATCATCATCAAAGCTAAATTCATCTAATTTGATACAAAATATAAATCACCCAATCATCAAGAAAAGATGGACAAATCTACCCAACATGTAAATTTCAGAAATCAGAATCAAAACAACAAACAAAGGAAATCCCTGTTTGAAGTACTCGGATCAAAATTAAGGAAAAAACTCATGTAAAATACAGGAAAAGGAAGAAGAAAAAAAATTAGAACCTGCGAAGAACGCCATAAACTCGAAATTCATCCTCGAGCTCGCGTTCGGTGACTTGAGGATCCAGATTACCGACATAGACTCGAGCCATTATTCCTGAAATTTGATAGCTGAGAAAAATTTATGAGAATTTAATCAAATACAAATTCGAGGAATTGAGAATGATTTTTTAAGGTTTAATTCAAGAAATTGAAGATGAAATTAATAGAGGAAGTGAGGAGAGAGAAAATACCTAGGGCTTGATCAAAAGATGTTACAATACAGAACAAGTTTCTGATTTTGATTTGGGAATAACGAAATGTTTAAGGGGTTATTTGAAGATAAAAATTTATGGGCTTTGATGGAATATGATTTGATGGACTATTGCCAATTGTATGGGCCATATTTTGAGTAGTCCAGTCGACAAAATAAAAAACGGTTTTTCTAAGCTATGTCCCGTGATTGTTGAGTTCCTAAGGCATTTCCATGCTTTATCAAAATTACAAGATATGCCCCACAACTTAAGGTGATTATTCAATCGTACTCTAAAACCTAACGTTAGCAATTGTCTTAACTGTTAATAACCCCACTTTGGAGAGAAATTTCACGCCCAAATTAAGTTAGAATTATATAGGGGAATTAACATTAAGAATTTTTTTCACATTTTCTCATCTATTTTTTCATCGTTTTTTCAAAAGGATATGTTGAGCTCTCGATGTACTTCTTCATTTTCTCTCATCCGCTTCTTATTACTTCCTATTTTCTTTTAATTATTAACATCAGGGGGTACGGTTTATTATGCAGCTTAAGTTAGAGGACATAACTTATAATCTCTACCTCATAAAAAGTAGAAAATAACTCTTATGAATAGTGTTCTACCAATTATACCCTCAAAAAAGTGTACAAAAATGTGTATTTACTTTTTTACCCTCATTAATATGTTTACTCATTAATATGTTTAATGTTTTTTTTCATTAAACCTATCATCAATTAATTTAAAGTTTTTTTTAAACAAAAAACTTGTAATGCTAGATTTTTTTTTAATAAAAAAAAACTCTAATGCTTTATACTTTATATGTTATTATTATTATTATTTAAAAAGAAAAAAAAAAAAAAAAAACTATATGTACGAAGAGACTGTTTATTACCAAAAGACTGTCTATTTTTACTCCTTCGTGGTTACTCTTCTTATTTACAATCTTATCGTCATTTAATTGCAACTACTATTAAGGTTTATTAGCTTTGAAATGCACATGAACAACATTATGGAATTTGAATGGGATTCACATTAAAAAGTGATATTTGAGCAGATGTTATCAAGAGGTATAAAGAACTTAAAAATCCTAAAATCGCAATCAAGGGCAACGATGATTGGAAAAAAAAATGGTATTAATTAATTATGGATAGAATTTAAGAGGAAAAGTATAACTAACAGAAGAACTTACATTATTAAGTTTTTAGCTACAATAAACATTTCACATTTTAAAACTTCATATGACCAAAGCTCACAAGGAATTCATTATTTGAAGAAAAACACACTAGGTATTATTGAAACATGTAAATAAATTAAGAGTTCTAAACTGACAATTGCCGCTTAAATTATGAAGGAATCGGATACAAATCAATTAAATACTATTTAATAATAATTTGGAAAAAAACACTATTTGTTATGAAATATTGTATGGATATCCATTATCCTCCTTTATCATTTCGGAATGTTCTAGAACTAGGGTTATTGTTAACTAAGCAAACCCTAGTTATATTGTGTATATATATATATATCCCCACTCTATGGAATAATATAGGCTGATCTATTCTCCCTAATTTCTCCTCTTTCTCTTTAATTTTATAACACTATCAAACTTTTTAGGGTTTTAAAAAATAACTGCCATAAAAGATTTTTGTGATTTTCTTATATTTCTACATCGCCACCACATAGGCACATAAATCAAATAGTACGTATTAAAACTACCAGGTCTACCACCCAAATCAAAGGTATTAATATACGTCAATACAACTTCTCTGAAGACCTAGCCCTTTGCGCGCATCGCGCGTGTAGGCCACCCTAGTTTTATAAAAGCATGGACACATTTTAAAAACTCAACAACCTCAAAGCATAATAGTTTAGAAAAACCCAAATAAAAATAAAGAATAAAGAAGAGTAAAAAATTTTTGGACCAAAAATAAAATGAAGAGTAATTTTATTTATTTATTTTTTTTCAAGGGTGTTTGAGTGAAACATGATTTAACTATTTTCAATACTACTCGTATGTATTTTGCATTGTTAGAGGATGAACACTTTTCTTCTATTTGCAACCTAAACGTATTCTGTTAGACATACATTTAGACCTTTTCTTGGGTTTCTAAACCTTGTACTACCTCTGTCACATTCTAGCTCACGGAGTATATGTACAATTTTAATGTATTATTTGTGACATATAAAAAATTCAAAAGTTACACATGGAACAGAGGTAGTATATAAGAACAATCTATGTCCCAATTTCTAATGCATCAGTAGCACGTAAGAGTTCATAATCATTGGTTCTTTCAGTCATTGGAGCTCATGGTTTGACAATTTTTTTCTCAAACTTGAAATTTTTTTAATTTTGGAGATTAAACTTGTACTTTAATATTTGGGTTTTGCCTCTTATTAATATTAAGGGCAGGGGATAAAATATTGAAAGAACAAGGAAATGAGACAACAGATCATCTCAAGGATATTCTTCATTCTATATATCAAATTTATTTGTATTGCCTTTCGTTTTT